TGAAGCCCGATGACGCGAAGGTGGCCAACATTCGTGATTGGCCACGACCTCAGTCTGTGACTGAGATGAGATCTTTCTTAGGAATGACAGGCTACTACCGGACTTTTGTAAAGAACTATAGCGTAGTGGCCTCTCCTTTGACTGATCTGACCCGCCTCGATACCCCGTGGGAGTGGACAGATGAGTGCGAGGCTGCTTTCAGACATCTGAAGCATGCACTAACGCATTATGAAGTCTTGAAACTTCCCGATCCTGATAAACCGTTTATAGTAACCACGGATGCTAGCCAATATGGCATTGGCGCCGTGCTTGCGCAGCAGCAGGGGCCAAAGTTGAGGCCTGTTGAGTACATGTCCAAGAAAATGCCGTCTCAGAAGTTGGCTAAGTCCAGCTATGAGAAAGAACTCTATGCGGTGTTCAAGGCGCTGACCCATTGGAGACACTATCTCCTTGGGAGGTTCTTCATCCTCAGGACTGGTCATCAGACCTTGAGATGGATGAGAACTAAGCCTGTACTCTCTGACGCATTGAAGCGTTGGATAGAAGTCATTGAGCAGTATGACTTTGACCCTCAGTACATCAAGGGTGAGTACAACAAGGTTGCTGATGCCTTGTCCCGTAGACCTGACTTCTCAGGTGCGCTGATTACTGAGTACGATCTTACGGATGATGTCACTCGATCCTTGGTGGAAGCCTATCGAGAGGACCAGTTTATGTCTGAGATCATACGCAGACTCGAGGCGAAGGATAAACAAACTTCAGCCGAGTTTGAGTTGGTCAATGGTTTGCTGTTTCTCGAGAAGGAAGGGAATAAACGTTTGTGTGTCCCTGATAAAGAGTCTTTGCGTAGTTTGTTTTTAGGCGAGTGTCATGACGCCCCCGACCATTTTGGGTACAAGAAGACCGCAGCCAATTTGCTGCAAAGGTTCTGGTGGCCCACGATGTTAAAAGATGCTAAACTGTACGTGGAAACTTGTCAAGTTTGGCAACGAGACAAGCCCCGTACTCAGGCTCCCCTTGGGTTGCTCAAGCCCCTTCCGATTCCGGAAAGGCCGGGTGAAAGCTTGTCCATGGACTTCATGGATACGCTGGTCACCAGCAAGAGTGGGATGAGGCAGATCTTCGTCATCGTGGATAGGCTTAGTAAGTATGCTAGGTTAATAGCCATGCCGAAAACAACGAAGACCGAGTATGTAATCAGGCTGTTCAAAGAGAACTGGGTGAGGGATTTTGGATTGCCTAAGTTTATTGTAAGTGACAGGGATGTCAGATTTACAAGTGAGTTATGGAAGGCCGCTGCAGCTGAACAGGGAACTCAATTGCAAATGACTTCTGGAAACCATCCAGAAGCAAACGGCCAGGCTGAACAGATGAACCGCGCTGTTCAACACCTGTTGAGGCATTACATTAAGCCCAATCAGGTGGACTGGGACGAGAAGCTTGCTCTTGCCGCCAGTCTGTACAATAACGCTGTACACAGCGCTACCGGGGTAAGTCCTAACAGTCTACATCTTACCTTTAGGCCTAGACTGCCTTTAGACTTCCTACTTCCTGATAACCAGCCAACTGTTGCACCAGGCACCTTGGAGTTCCCTTATCGTTACGAACAGAAAATGCAGGAGGCTGTAGAGCACATGCAGAAGGCGCAGGCAATAATGATAGAATCTGAGAATAAACACCGCCGCCCTTCTGCATTTCAGGTTGGGGACAGAGTCTGGGTCAAGTCTTCAGAACTGGGACAGGAGTTCGGGATATCCCGCAAGCTCATGCCACAGTACTTTGGACCTTGGGAAGTTTTAGACGTAGTAGGGACAGATCCTGATGGTCCATCTTACGTCATCCGTATCCCTGGTCACCGCAGAACTTTCCCAGTCTTTCACGCCTCTAAGCTCGCTCCGTCCAAGGAAACTGATCAGTTTCCCTCTCGTCGATCAATGCTGCCCCCAACCATGGACGCGGAAGTCGACATGGATGATATCGTCGACCACAGGGAGATGCCTGTTCAGAAGCCTCCGGGAAGGGGACGTCCTCCAAAGCCAAAGCTGCAGTTTCGTGTCCACTTCAGACATCACACAGATCCGAAGGAGGACCGCTGGTTTACTCGGGAGGAATTGATGCAGACCGCTCCTCAAATCGTTGCCCGCTATGAGAAGGATGTATTGAAAGGAAAGCGCCAKATGGCTCAGGATTGATCTTCTCAGAGGACTAACGAAGATATGGAGGAGGGAATGCGAGGCTACGCCCGCTCAGCCCCTTCGGGGCCCTTTTTGCAGCATCTCGGCCGCCCTAAGTGAAGGCAGGCGCGACAGGCCCTCAGGCCCTCGAATTTCAGGGTATCCCGCAACTGGTGAAATTCAGACAGTTGTGCTGCGCCAGTTGGTTGAAGGCGCCCAGTCCCAGGCCATATTTTGCAAATGTATCTGAATGGCAACCTGGGCCAGACGCGTGAAAAAGGCCGTGAGCAGGCCAAGGGCAGTTGGGCACATGTAACCATCAGGCCCTGGGCCTGCGTGTGAGGTCTGGGCCTGTGCCTACCGGGGCCTACTGGAAGCTTCCTGGACTGGACGCAGGCAGGCCACTTCGATATAGCGAAGGGCCTGCCTCCTCATTTGGCATTCGGGTGCTGGCTGCATGCTGCGCAAGCGCTGCTGCGCT